ACCTCGCGTCAGATGTTAATTCTAACGCACATGTTAATTCATTAACGCAGTCTGCATGAAGCGACGGTCACTATTTCCTGCCTGCAACTCTGCGTCACTCTTTTCTGCATGCAACTCTCTAGGTCGCTCTTTCCGCATCCAACTAAGGAGACACAATATGTTAAAGTAGCGTAAAAAGGCACATTACGTATTAAGAGCCTATCAGATATCTAGTTATGCACATTACAGAAGCTAGCCAGTGCACAAATTAAAGAGTTCCTCATAGACTTTAAGGATTACCATTGCTCTTTAGCTTAGTATTTTGTGTCTATAGCGAGAGATCTGTGATTTTTTGTAACTAGTGGGGTCTATAAGTTATCAAATGAGCGAAAGTGTAGCCACACTCAACGCGCTCCTCCGCTGCAAATTTACAAAGTTCTCGTGTTATCTGTTCATCTCTGTAGTCGGTCACTGTCTCTTGCTCTGATCATCTCTGTAGTCGGTCACTGTCTNGTCGGTCGCTTGTCTCTTGTTCTGATCATCTCTGTAGTCGGTCACTGTCTCTTGCTCTGATCATCTCTGAATGTATAACATCTCTGAATGTATCACAACGTGATACATTCAGTGCATCTGCAGATTTGTTGGAACATAATTCAACTAAATTGTGACCGTTGCCACTGCATGTTATAACTCAAACCCTTTACGCTTACGGAAAGTGATATATTTTCCTACAGTTATGATTGGTTGCTTTCTTCAATTGCGATTTGTCAGATCACTATGCAATCTACGAGCTAAAATAGTGTGAATATATTCGTCCCGCCAAATTCAGGTCATCCTGTGGTTGTCGGCCTCGCCCAGCCAGTTGTTCTTTTACTCGATTCAATATTTGATCTTTTTATTAAAATAACTTCTCCATGTGCATGTAAAAAAAACATGTTCTGTTTTTCTCTAAATTTAATTCTGCATCGAATAGGTGTTAACACCATGAACAGATTTGGACAAAAGTTACATGATGCGTTCTCAAAAAAAAAACACTAAGGACTTGTGTGCTACAATCCTCTCATTGTGAACGAGATAAAACCCCCTATTGCTTCAAACGTTTGAATTAGTACTAGATTATTTCAGGTTTCGCGTAAGTTCATGCTTTACTTAGGTAAAACAACAACAATGACGGATATTTACTCTAGTTGCATCAGTAAATTTACTCCAGTAGGCATATGTTGGTCACCAGATGCTCCTCATCATGACGTCATGGTAGCGGAAGAAGTTTGTTGCGGTCGCCACAGCCGTCCAGAGAGAGTGACTAAGCGAGGCAACATGCAGGCAGAAAAGGCCGCACACACACAGACAAAAAAATGCACTAAACTAAAATAAAAGAGCACTTCTGGAGCTCGGCAGGGTGGCGTCTCGTGTCGGCCATAGCCTTACTAGGACACGCACTCCCTTACATGGCCAGAGTGGGACGCTTATGGTCTGTTGTGAGACGGCACTGGATTTGCTCGCTGCATCCGCGGCCTTTTCCTTTTGAGCGAGATCAGGTCGAAGAGATCGTCTGCTTCTTTAGTAAAGTTACTTCAACATAGCAATTGTAAGTTTAATTTGCCGTCCCACTCGTGGGTAAAATACATAGCATTCGTAATGCCTTTCATAGAAGACTTATTTCATTCAATAAAATTCATTTATGAAGTTTTTGAACATAGAGATTGTACATTAAATTCATAGTTTCTCTCGTGTGCAAAGTTAATCGCGTTTTTACTGCTTTTATAGACGAATTGTTCATTTCATATACAATTAAACAACTTTCAATTATTTCAGGCGTTTTTTCATTTAGTTAGCTGCTCATGTAACAGATCTCACTGAGTCGTCGATTTAGACACGTTCGTGTGACACTAACCTCTTCAGGCTCCGAAAGAATCCTTCTTCGACGGCTCTCTTTTCTTGCCTTTTAATTCCCTGCCCGCAATCAATGCCAGACCGAAGGAATTACTCCCCCTGCCAACTTATCCCTCCTCAATCCGGCGACGATGTACCGGCCGTGGCTTGAAGCAATGACTGTACTTGGGACTGTGTCGTGACGATCAATTGTTTTGAATTATAATTTGTGCAACAAAAATGGATTAAAATATAGGTTCGTTTTTCTTATGAAGAAAATATGATTCTGTTGTCATCTCCAGCTGTATCAAATCAGCCAAAATATCTGCTTGCAGTTTTCCGTCATTTGACTCTGATTCACAGAGGTAATTGTACCTCTTAATTGCACGTGGAATTTATTCGATATATTTGGAAATAAAAAATATCTATTACCATTGGTCCGTACGAAAGAAATTAATTATTCTAGAGGTACACACACCTATATGGAGTTAATGTGACAAAAAAAAAACTCTTTCCCAACTGATTAACATGTTCACGAGAAAATTTCATACATTTGCTCAAATCATTATTCCATTAGCCGTTTACGTCGTAAGAATTTTCTCTATTTCGGTTTCATTCTAGACAAGAAGTAACTACTCGAAAAATGCACTGAAATTTCATTTGCGATATCAAGACAACCATCTGCTCCTGATTAGAACGTTTGATTTTGAACCGAAATTTATCTCATTTACTAGGTATACGGCGCAATGAGCGATACAGACAGGAATTCGGAGCGACTAAGAAAAAATCCCAACGTCGCTGACCATATTTTTTTTTTACGAAACTACGCACACGAACTACTTTGAGCAATCCGCTCGTGTTTAGGTCGTGAGGGTTGTGAGTTAATTTCTTCCGATTTTGATTTCATTCTATATTTATTCGTCGATTCGGGCTAGTACGATGAAGTTTTTATTTATAGAATGGCTTAAAGTATAACAAACGTTAAAAATAAATCTATTGTTTGAATTTTTTCCCTGAGTTTCATCAAATTTTCGATAAAATCTATTTGAAAATGCGCTATCGTTATAGCAGGCTTGTAGATGAAGCATAAATTTAAAAATACGTAAATAAAGTAAGAAAACAGTTTTTTTCACATTTTTTATGAACGTTTTTTGGAAATCTGTTTGGTGGTTAGGGAACTATTTCTTGGTTATTGTGATTTTGAAAAATTGGTCGCGGAAATGTCCGATGGCTAGAGCATCGATCCAGAAAACCCAATGCTAATAGAAGACAGGTCCTGTATAAGATTTTTCGCATCCAATCTACATGGACTTTACATTTTATTAAAGGTGCTAAGTAAAAAATTTCTAATGACCGCCATGATCACATCTATAATGTTTTAATATAAGGCCACATCAGGCCTACACTTCAGCGCCGAGATCAATATGTTATGTTAAATACCTCACCCCATGATATTCATCACACTGATTCTCAAATAAATTCGTCCGGAGTCCGCAGTCCGGAACATTAGGCCACGCATCTGCCTTCTGATTGGTCAGAACTGCTTGACGTTCTCCAGCACAATAGATGTTCGAACATTGCGAGATGCCGAGTCGCAAGTGCTGCAGTACCCGTCTATTTATCAAAAATGATAAATTATGAATCTCTTACCAATTAGTGGAGGCTAAGTTTCGTGCCACAATATTTTTTTTCCTGGTGATGCGCCTAAAGTCCCAATGCTTTGATTTAAATCGAAGTTTGAAATTATTAATTAAGTCAGTTGTGTTTAATAGGCAAAGCTGAGCTAGCCTGCTAGAATAAGGTACTCCTACCATCGCATCAGAGCTTGCCAGCTTGGAGAGTTATCCTATAGTATAAAATACTCAGCAGGGCTGGAAAAGTGAGTTTCCGATGCCGACCGCCAAAAATGGATTTCAGATTCGTAATCTACACCCCAAAAAACATATAATTCAAAAAAAACCACCCTTTTTTTTGGATGTAGTTAATCTGCAATAATACCATTATCATTTGTACAGTTGCAGCTTAAGTGAAGACAAATGCTAGTGACTGTTTTTGTATAGGACTTTGTAAATAACATGGGTCTTACTCTTAGTATGCATGGGAGTGATGGGACTTTGTGAATAACAAGTTTGCAGGTCAAAAAGGCTTTTCATGGCCAAGATATGGAATTCACCACTCAGAGAAACGGAATCACTGCTGGCAAATCGATGAAGCCATGGCTCAAAAAATCTAGTCGCGGCATGCCAAGCAGGGCTGGAAAAGTCCTATTTTTGTCTGAAATATCGCGGCTCTAATATCGTCTAATATCAGTAGGTATGAAATCTCGCGGCTTGAATATCACAAATTTTTGTTTGATTGAAAAATTGAAAAATTGTGGTTTGCACTTCAGAAACATGTCATTTCATAAAATTTTCAACTTCCGCAATCCGCATTGCTTTTACCGTTCCAGCCAAAATATCCTGCAGAAAAAAACATAAACATCGTAATGTAAACAAATCAACTAAACGTTTTGTTGAAGATTGCGCATAGTTGCGGTCATGTCAAAGCAGTCAGACTGCAGACTGCTATTAAAACGTGCTCAACTTACAGTAAAGACAATTTTTATTGTTGCCGTTTGACTGTTTTAGGGTATAATTAGAGATTTGGGGTAACACGTGCATGGAGAATTTGCGCCTCGTAAATGGCTTTTCATGGCTGAGATATGGAATTCACGGCTTGGTGAAATGGATCACGGCTCAAAGAAATGGAATCACGGCTGGCAAATCCATAAAACCATGGCTCAAAAAATTCAGTTGCGGCTCGCCAAGTAGATATATTCCATGCCTGATGCCAAGTAGATAGGTCCTATATTCCATGCCTGTACTATAGTGGTGAGCCACTAAGGCTGACTGAGCTAACCTGTTAACCTATTTGAATTTTATTATAAACTTCAATTGACATGATGTTATTGAATGATTTGTATTAATTTTTAAAGTACTAGTCTATGCTGTAGCCTGTAGTATTGGAATTATTCCAAAAACTGGATGACAAACTTTCAAAAATTTTGAATTTTGAATGTGCAAAACTGTCACTAAACAGTAAACTAAAGAGATTTAATTATTCCTTCAATAATTGCACCTTGCATATAATCTATAATTGGTATTTGGTAATAACTTTCATTTCCAGATTTCAATCACATTAATTTGACTCAAAATGAAGTCAAATCACAAATCCATTTTATTCTTTACAACCTTAGCTTGTGTAGTCTTGTCTAGTCCTTCTCAGTCTCTGAGTTCCTCAACAACACTCACTGCCAGTGATAGGAAGCGGCTGGAAGCTGTACTTGAACCAGGATGGCAACTAACTGACCTAAATCTTGTTACATATGCAGCTTCTGGCTACAAGCATTTGGGCCTCAAAGTGCCAAATTCTGAGGTAATTTTAGTTTTCAGGCATAGTTAGATTTCATATAAATTATTAATCTTGTATAATTTTATTTTGGTATGAATTTTTAAATCATATGTGATGAATTTTATATTCTAACATGACAGATAGGATAACAGTGACTAATAATTTTGTTCTTATATGTGATTTTAATTAGCTTAAAAAATAACAAGCGGTATCCATGCTATCGTTAACATTTGAATTTTATAAAATTGTTACAGGCTGCATGCTCATATGTGAGTGGACAGGCTGCAGACACAAATGCTAACACTGAAATGCTGTTTCTGGCTGCGTCAGCTGCCGTGTATCTGGGTTGCCCCATCACTGCAAGTCCTCATATGAAGCAGGTTCGTTTGATATTTATCAAGTCATTAATCCTTTTGATTATTTAGTAAATACCAGTTCTGAGAAATATTTTGAGATACCTACTTGAAAAATTTGTGCATGCTGTCTCTTTCCAAGTGTTAAAAGCAGCTTTTCTGGTAAGGTAAGCTTCTCACTTGGTGGCATTAATTTGAACTAGAAGAAAAGTAATGACTGTATACATTTCCAACTAAGATCTTGCATTTCACTGATATTTAAACTAATCTCATAATTTTCTAATTGTTTAAAAAAATGAAGTTGCTTGGCAGTCATGGATAATATGGACAAAAGTATAAAATAATATTTAGACCTTTTCCTCTCACTCTATCACACTCATGTGGATATAAATCAAGCCATTATCTTTGATAATTTCCTGTTTGCTCTTCAATTTTGAAGCCATTTTGGAATTTAAAGACCACTCAAGTTATTCTTAGTGATGTTTTATTAATACACTTGTCTAAGTTGTCTTATTACATTTTTTGCTTATGTGAAATAAATGCTGAAAGATCTTGAAGTATAAGTTGCTTATATTGGGACAAAGACCTTTTGAGTTAAATAATTTTTCTACAATTCTCTTATTTATTAAATTCTCCGTATTGATATTTATTCATGTTTCAATTTAAAGCAAAGAATGATAAGATGTTTCTAATTCACATTTCTTTTCAGACATTGACTGAGAGCATCTCAGAAAGCAGCAGCTTAGTGGAAGTGTACCACGCTGTGCTTGGTCTTCATCGTCTCAAAGAGAACATTGACACAGCTAAGGTCCTTGCTGTAACACAAGCCATTCTCAAGAAGGATGATGGAGTACTCAAGTAAGTGAAAATCTTTTTAATCAATATTATAGAAAAGGGTTGAAGAATTGTAAAAATGAAATTTGAAATTAATTTTTTTAATATTTGATAATAAAATTAGAAATTCATTTTACATGTGTAACATCAGAGACACTGGATTCTCTAGAAGTGTTGTCTTTCAAAAGAGTAATTTTTAAACGCATATTATTTATTCTTTCTTCAATTCAATTCATAAGAATAATGGCTTCAAGAATTTTTGAGTGAATGATGCTTGAAGAATATTCTTTAATTTTATCTATGCATGTATAATGTTTTTTCTGATTAATTTCTCCATGAAGATAGATTGTCCATGTAAATTGATGCAAATTCAATTACATGTATACAGACATTAACCCTTTACCGCCAAATCGGACAATCAAGTCACCTTTAAAAAAATGCCAGTTTTCTGAAAATTTCACGTTTTCTTTAATTTTTTCGAAAAATTCACACGAACAAAAAGAGTCTTGAATTTATTTTTTACATATGTGTACCTACTAAGTTTCAAATTTATCTGTCTGTAAATGACCGAAATAAAATTTCTAATTTCTTGTGGAAATGTTAATTCGGTTATTTACAGACGGATCACTTTGAAACTTGGTACACTATCACATACCTATGTAAAAAATAAGTCTAAGACTTTTTTGTTTGTGTGAATTTTTCGTAAAAAATGAATGAAAACTTGAAATTCTTAGAAAACAGCCGAAAAGGGGGTACTGTAGAAATCTATCTCCTCCTAGGATTTTCAAGCTACAACATTGAGACACATATCATTCGATGCATAAGGACCATATCTATCGATTAGTTATCAATATTTTTCAAAATTCTAATTATCTGTGGGTAGGGTGGGCATTTTTTGAACAAAATTTGATTCCCTTTTAAATTTTTTAAATTTACCCCCCCCCCTTTTTTCAAAATAGTTTCAAAACTATAACGAAATTAAAAAAACTATGACCAATCTCTAGATCTTTTATTTGCGAATTGAACGGAATATCTCTCATTGCTGTAGCTTAAAAACTCTAGGAGATAGGTTTGCTGTGACAATAAGTGTGAATGTTCAGTAGAGCGCGACAAAGTCCCGAGCGCCTCGAAATAGGCATTCAAGGTGGCATGGATACAAGACTAGACGTTACTGGAGCTAAAATTCAGTCGAGGATGGTGGGATCGACTGCATGAGCACCATCCCACATGACAGCAGCCGGGTAACTAAAGATCAGCGTCTTCAGACCGTCTATATATGTGCCCGGCCGGTAATTTTCGCCTATCTTAAATGTGAAAGAACTCCCCCACCCCTAACCCTTTCGCGATCTGTCGTCAAGGCATAAATCAACGTACAGAGATGATTTTGGTATCGTTGGATAGGTCAGAATGTCAGCTTTATGGTGAGACTAACAACCTGAAAAGTGAAACTTGCGATTTTTGACAGAAAATCAGGCGGTAAAGGGTTAATGCATAATTATCAATTAAATATTATTTATTGCAGCTTGGGATATGCATTCCACATTGGCTCAGTTCTGTCAGGAGATGTGTCAAGCCTCCACTCTCGGATTGAGGACGCTGTGGTGCAGGCAGATGAGGTCGATGGACGAATGCTCCAGTTTGAAGGAGGACTTTCCATCACTGGTCAGCTCTGTTATTACTCTGGTTACTGTTGATAATCATGATGTTTTAGAAGTCTCTGTGTCATATGTTTTTTATTTCTAAATCTTCAGAATACTTATTCAGTTATTGATGCTCAATAATCCTCTGTACATGTGGAGAACCGGAATTAACTGAATTAATATTAACATATTATGAACTAACTCTGGGCAGGTTAATTAAGAAGGGAATTCATTGTTTTATCACCTGTGCCTTAGTGACATGTCTCCTTAGCAGGCTTTTAATATTTTGTCCGTGAGTGCAGCAAATGCAATAATTTGAACATAACTATTTGCATGGCCTAACTCATTTTCATCCTTATCTGGAGTATTGAATTAAATTCAAACTGCAACTAATTTGATCATTAGCCACATTGGCTCCTATATTTTCACAAGCGTTAGCACTTTTATTACATATACATTGAAATGTTGAGCCCTCCATTCCTCTGTTATAATACTCATCTTGATATCAGTGATGAAAAATAAATCTTTGGTTCTTCTTGCAGCTCTCGTTGTGGATGGGGCATACAAGCTGAGTGAGGCTGCCAAGCGACCTGTGCCGCTGAGGCCTGAGCAGGCTGTCAAGTTTGCTAATTACCTGCTGAGTCGCAAGAGTGTCCAGCTGCCCAAAGGCGTGCATTACCTCCTGCACGCTCTCACTATGTTCACTAATAACAAGTATGTGATGTTACATTTTGAAACATTTTAAATAGGTTAACAAGTCAGCATGATGACTTAACTGAAAAAAACTAGGCAACCTAGTGTCGAGTGTAGGTAAGGAAAGGAAGCTCTAAGAACCTTGGCCTTACTCATAATACACATTAAATTAAACACAGTTCCCTGGATTATACCATTTGCGTATAACTTGTTTGTTAGAATGTCCAAGCAGAACCGGTTTGTCATAAATTCAGTGTGGTTTTGAGGTTGAATGTCTTACAAGAGGCTTGAATTATTAACAGAAGCAGTGAAATTTAACAGTAGATCTTATTTTACTAAAGTTGTTTTGAGTATCACAATTGATCGTGGAAAAAATTCCTATTTTCATGTGGTTTTATTCCTATACAAAGTGTTAAATATGATTATTATTCCTCTTGTGAATTCTATAAATGTATATATTACTGTTGATTTATTGATTTGCAGGTACCACGTTCCCGTCGCCATAAGCCTTGCGAGCAGCGTTGCCGTCAGCGCCGCTCAACCATCTGTTCAGGTGCGTTCCTTACCTATTACATATGTATGATTGTTCTAACTGACTTAATTTTATTATAAACTAGTGTTGCGAATTTATAGCTACAATAAACTGGGAAAGACAGAGATTTTATCAATTTGTTTCATCGCAGCTATGATTGGTTTCTGAATGATAGATATAATATTGAATTTCAGAATTTAATTTTGCATGCTCTTCTTAGAGCGTCGAAACGGAGATGAATGAATAAATTTCTGGTTGCAATGGCAGTGAGCTGAACATAAAAAAGTTTGACGCATTAGTTATTACGTATTTAGATGAAATATCTTCTTTTCTGTATGTTTGCAATATCTTACTACGCGAAAAGTTGCACATAGATCCTTCTATTAAAGTTTGAATAAGCCAAGAAATTTGTGGATCTTATCACTAGACATCTGGTTTTGAAAAAATGATCACAAACATATTTGTGATCTACGGTAATGAGGGGAGTAATTATGTCACCGTTTCCAGCCTGTAGACCACAGATTCTTACAGCACCGATCTAGACTTTAGCTAACAATGATAACGATACAGGTTGCAGCTTAATTCGACGATCCAGGTAGCTTCTTAACTTAACGATGCTGGCTACAGATAATAACATCAATGATCTTGACTGCAGGTGTCCATCTCGGACCTGATGGGCAACAACATCCCAGGCGCCGACGTCAGAGTCACGGCAGAGCAGGTGACCCGAGATGACGACGGTCAGGTTCTCGCCTCCAGCCTCCAGCTCACCGCTGTCAAAGACTCTAAGTACGACTGTCATCTAACTTGTAGATGGTCTTGATTGTTATATTTTTGTATAGATTACGAGTTAGATGTGATTTAGGTTGGTTAATGAATCTCCTCCATTACGTTACCTAACATCTTGACCTGTTTAGTAACCTCATTTAGGTATTTTTAGTTTAGCCTATGGCAGCATTCATAGCATTCATTCCAATTATGATTACATTTATGGTTGGTCATTTATTTTTCATGTCCCTAGGCCTTATTCATATTGATCTTTTTGATACTGATAATGATATTCTTTTCCCGTTTCGTGTCTTTTATTTTATATAATTTAGAGGGATAGAGTGCAATAATAAATAAGCTAGGGACAAGTTTTATTTCTTGATCAATACTTGGTCATTTTTGGCCATGATCCTAAGATATGCTTGTGAAGTCGATGGTTATCTGCTTCTTTACTCTTTTTTTCTAATCATTGAACCGATTTGTGTAAAATTAATCTTTATAAATGATGAGGATTTATTCTTTGGTTTCTCACTGGAGCTTATTACAGACTAAAATTTTCGGGACCCTTTAATCCATGCATTTGATCCCATCACCTCTATCTTGCTGTCAAAAGTCTTGCTACCGCTAAAGAAGACTGATTAATACTTAGTGGACTGGACTTAGTATGAGCTTCATACCAGTTTATCAGTCCAGTTAAAACTTGAATGACTGGACTTGGTATGAGCTCCAGTCATATTAGACTTGGTATGAGTACCTGTTAAGAGGACTAATTAATATTTAATCGCTGATAATCTCAGAACTCTGTACGAGCTCGACGCTATGGCGCTGCAGCCCAAGCGTGGCTTCCATCAACTGAGCGTCACGGCCGCCGCCAGTGACAAGAGACTCGTCGGCAACACGAAGGCGCTCCTCAAGTTCAAGGTTTTTGATTGTTTACCATTTGTTCACGAAAATTCTATCAATTTAATTTTAATATCTATGTGGATGTCCCTGAGAATTCTTTTGTCAGGATTTTTTCCAGCTTTCTGAATTGAAGGTTCTCAATTCATTAAGCGTATACATTTTCATAGTTCAATTTAGTGTCTCTTCAGGCATTATTATTTAGAGTTTTATTTATTTTTTATGTATACATTTGCTTGGGTATGAATATGAATTCAAATGATTGCATTCTAGAATTTTCTTGTTTATACTTTCATTTTGTCTGTTACTATTATGAATATTCTCATTCTAAATTAATACTTCTGGCATTTCATTTGCTATTAACGAAAACTAAAAAGTAAGTAAATATGTATTATAAATATATATCATAATCATAAAATACAAATTAAAGGAATATCTCTGCTTTCCAGGTTTTGACTTCAATAAGCTTAGAGCGTGTTGAGGTTGGCACTGCTGACGCTGACCAAAGCTCTGCTCCGACTCTCAAAGAGTGAGTTCTCTTTTTAACGCATTTTCTCATTTATGGAAAAAATGCACTATTGTGCTCGCCATGTCCGTCCGTTCGTCTGTCTGTCCGTCTGTCCGTGACTTCACGTTTTCGTCGACGATAAAATGCGCGCTCTGTCACTCACTGCAGTGAGTACTGAGTTGTATTTTTTTTTTATCTATTCCCGTTACACATGTGCATCACAATCCTCATTAACTGATTCTCGACTAAAGTTATAATTGATTGTTAGAAAAATTTTTAATTATAAATGATTGAACCATCAGAAAGAGTAATTGTTCGGGTCCAAGACAGCATCAAACAGCAGTTGTTATTGTGCTATTGATCATATTTTTATTGGTAATAATATTATTATTTACACACTTGCAGAGTAGTGTACGGCAGCAAACTCGCAGGTGGTCCACTGGAAGCTGACCGTCACCAGAAGGTCCTGGTGCGCTTCCAAGTGAAGGACACTACGAGCGGCAAGCCCACACGCGTCCATCAGGCCTTCGTCAGGATCACGCACTCGAGCAGCAAGCGCGAGATCATCTTCAAGGCAGATCCTGAACCTTCAAGTGTTCTCTACAAGTTTGAGATGGTATGTGGTATTTCTTCAACTTTTTACTTCGAGGGATTTATTCCACAAATAATCATGTCGTAAAGTGTATAAAGAGAACTGCACCCTACGACCATAAAATTCTTGTTTCCCTAAGTAATGGTAGATGTACTTTTTACAGAATGGTTTGTGTATATAGCAACGAATTAATGATTTGAATTTGGGCTTTTTTTCATTTCAAGATGATTTGAAACTTTGACACCGATTGTCAGTATTTCATTGAATGTGAGATTGGGAGCGAGTATGCAGCCACCTTATTCCTTGATTAATGAACTGAATCTGTGTTGCTCATTTCTTAAAGAACAAGAATGTTTTAAATGGGATGATTAGTCTAGGTTGGCCCTGCGATATTATGTGATGGCAACAATTAGCGAGTTACCTCTTGTGCCACACACTCCTAGAAAACAATGCGACTTTGAACAAATAGCTAAGCATTTGTTGGGTCCTCCTGAATCAGTTTAAATCTGCAAATACGGTAAGCGTACGGTACAAATTCTCGGCAAAGAAACTGTCACTAATTGAACAATATGACCATCCAATTTTTCTGAACTGCAGGTCGTGTCTGCCAGCCAGCCTCAGTTCAAGGGAGTCAGCGGCCTCTACTCCATGGAACTGATCATTGGGGACGCGTGCATAAGCAACCCTTTGCGTTGGAACCTGGCTGACCTCAACCTCAACTTCCCTGCAACAAAACCCACTGATTCTGCTGAAGCTGCCGTTGACTACACCTACAAGGTTGGAGAAAGATTTGGTTTTATTAGGCGCATCTTATAGACTGACGAGATACGGAGAATTTTATACTTGTATACATCTTTTAGAATGTAGAATAACAAGGTTCAATTTTTAGTTAGTGCATACTATAGAAAAACGTGGTTTGAAGAAGTGTATTTTATTATATGCAACTTAAATAACAACAATTCTGTATTTTATCATATGGAGTTAGTAGGTTTGAAGGCCTTTTGTTAATCTGTTACTTTTTTTCAGCCCAAGCCAGAGATCACGCACAAGTTCCAAGAACCGACACAGAGACCTTCTGCCTTTGTGTCCACTACCTTCACTGTTCTCTGCCTCCTGCCACTCGTCCTGCTCCTCGTCTTGGTTTGTTCTTGTCATTAATTACAGTATGGTTCCGTTTGTTACTAATTGCCTTCAGGGTTATAAAATTTTCTAGTCTAGTTAAAGCTTGAATTGTAAAAAATTTTTGATATGGTAGTTTGTTTAACAGTGAGTGGTTGACTGAAAATGATCATAGTCCACGTTAAAATCTTGTAATGTTACAACAATTGCCGCGTCAGGAATATAAACGTTACAAAACCTAATGCCTTACAAGTAAGAAAATATATGGGCCTCAATAAAATTATATTCGTCCTGAACTTGCAATGCTTTGCAGTGGGGCAAGCTGGGCATCAACGTTTCCAACTTCCCCTTCTCACTGAGCGCCCTGGGTTTCCATTTGGGGATCGGAGGTGAGTTTCTGGTCATTTTATAAGGCTTTCAAAGGAGGTCTGTCAGCTTTTATGGCTTTGTCTTCCACTAGCTTCAAAATAAAACTTATTGTGCTTACATGAAAAAGACAGCCTTTCTAATATTAGTGATAATTACTGGGAGGTTATTTCTTGCACTTTTCCCTAAAACTTGAGATCCTTAATGTGTTATAATTATGTATAATTTTACTTAATCCATTCCTACGATGCTCAATTGTGAGAAACAATTACGTTTTCTGATTTCATCTTCACTCATTTTACGACCATCCCGAGTTTATTTTACAACCTGTTAACCATACTCTCATGCCACAGCGATCTTCGGACTTTTCTGCTTCTTCTGGCTACAGCTGAACATGTTCACTACCTTACGCTATCTGTTCATGGTGGGCGTGTTCACTTTCTACTGCGGCAATAGTATGCTCTCGAAAATTGCTGCAGCTCGAAAAGAGTGAGTACTCAGTTTAGATTGCTAGAACATACTTGGCTAAAACTGATAGATGCTTATGATGCCCTCTCAATTTAATCATCAACTGACACGTTTTTTGGCCAGCTAAAGATATTCATTTAGGGAACACATTGGTTTTTCAATGCTTCTAGTATGCCGTATGGTGATGCTATTTTTTTTTAGCGGAATTATACTTGTGCTTTATTGTTGGACTTGGCGATGTGCCCAATCTCTGCAGTGTTCTTTCTTCCACGCCAAATAGATGTCACTCATTAACTCAACGTACAAGCACTTCATGGTAGCTCGCCTCAGATGACACGCTAATCATTTTTCTCCTCTGTACTCACGCCCAAAATGTATACCGCTGATTTGAAAATTATTTCGTAATCGCAACGCTTCATCAATTTGTATCGCATTGGCAGAAAACTGTTTATTTAAGACAATGACATGAATGTTATCCAAACAGGTACGGAATAAGACAAGGTCGTTAAATATATAGTCTGACGTAACTGTTGTTAATTGGCTTTAATCAGTCCAAGCTGTTATGGAATTCCTTCTTGGGATTTCGCGTTGGGCATTTTTTCCTTGAAATCACCCACATACAATGTCTATTTTACATGCACTACCTATTGCCGTCAGCTATTTTACTGTTTCTCTTCTGCTGGGGTGATCGCTCGTGGTTTTGATTTCTTGAATTGTTGCGACTTTGTGATATTGCAGGCACGAGACGAAGCTCGTCTATGGTCCGTACTACCAAAAGCAGTACAAGTTCCACAATAATTAGCTGTCTACATACCACCTGTCTGCTGTACCGCTAGTGGTCGCACTACTGTAGGTCAGGAGCAGGCATCATGTTGCTCGACCCGAGTTTCACTCATCGATTTATTTCTGATTAGTTCCCTCATTGTTATTACCTATTTCTTGCTGTCGTAAAGCTTCATAATTAATCTAATTTGAAAATTACTGCATTATAATTTAGCTACTTCCTCAGCGTATCCGCTTTTTTTGTGATCATCGCCTTGACTACCCTCACATCGCCTGTCCGCTTTTTTGTCACTATCGCCTCACAGTCGCCTTTGTGACTTTGACTACCTTGAGTGCTTTTCTCTCTCGTGTTCCATTAAATTATTTCCCGTTGATTGTAGGCTTCATTTTCCAGGCAAATGATGAAGAATATCAATTGATTTTGATTGCTTTCGCATGCTGATCAACATGTTTCTTTAATGGGATTCGTGATGTGAAAAATTTGGCGAGAATGTTTTTCGTGGCACTACAATTTTGAACCAGTGATGATCTAGAAATAATTATGATTACCAGAATCAATCATATGATGCACTCCCCTCAGGTCAATGTCCTAATAAAACTTCCTCTCCTGCAGAAGCAGCAAGTGAAATGAGCGTCTATCTTCTCTGCACGAGTGGGGGGTTTGCCATGCTAAGGCGTTTGAGCGTTCCTGATTTAATTACCTGTCCAGTTCACGCGACTTGCTAATTTATCTTCTAACATCTATTTGGTACATTAATTAGTTTTTGAGCTAGAGAAAATTTTATATGAAAACGGAAGGAAAAAATTTTATGATCGTCGGTATTCTCCGTTAATTTAGAACCGACCTATTGAGCTAAGTTTTTGTTTTGTTTGTTTTTCACCCATTGCTCTTAACCTATCAATGAGCGAAATTCACTCCCTCATTATGCAACGGCCCAGCTGAAGGCATTTTGAAAGCTGCACAAATATCATTCCTTACGTAGCTATAACTACTGTTTTTAGGCATTTTGTGTGAACCACGGCGTGTTTATTAAAATTTCACGAACAGATAACATTGCATCGTTGTTTAAATAATATACCTTTTGAGAGTTATCTGATGCGGTGACATGTTCATGATGCAAGTTGACTTGAGGACGAGCTGTACATGTTTCCATGATCTACGATATTCAACGCAGGCCATTTCACTTGCAAATAAACATGTGGTTTGATTAGGAGATCTTTCTTAACACGTGTGGAAATAACGGCATTATTATGAACATCTTTGTAACACTTGTGTTTTGTAAGTTAAGTTGGGGTGAGTAAATTTTCAACCCTGATTGATCTTATTTCAGGTACCTTTCAAAATCAATAGTCAATTTATTGGTTTCTATTCAAAGTATTTCTATATAGGTTGATTTTCATTGGCAATGTTTGAACGTTTGTATAGGTTGATTTTCATTGAAAATGTTTGAACGTTTATCCTAACTTGCGAGGAACACGATTTAGTCTACATTAAAATTTCTGGAATGATCCAAGATTTAGCTTTATTCGGTTGTCGATTTTTAATATATTCAGACTTCTCCCCTGCATTGTATTCTTCACTTCCTGATTAAATCTCCAGCGCAATATTTTTGCAGATTCGTTCCTCGAAAATTTGAGCGTTTGTCAATTCCCAGAACGCAAGACCACTCCTTGTAATCCGACGTAACAAAAATTGACACTTGTTCCTAATCACCGTATGTTGATGAGTACTAACGCCACGTTTGATGACCACATCGCGACAATAGTTGCGGTAGGCGACGACAGCTGGGGTGGATCTAGTCGACATTCGGAACAAAAAAAACGGCGCCAGTGCTTACACTCTTCAGTTCCCTCGTGCTCCCCATTCAGGAGTACTGCTGCCAACTCTGAGCTTATGGCATGCGCGGTTACTCAATTGGAGGCAGTCTAACGGATGGACTTTCGCGTCCAGGATCAGCGGGGTGAGGGACCTGCACTACTGGGATTGAAGAGCAGGGTTCACTACTACTTCTACTGCTAGAGCACCTGGGAATGTAGTCACTGGAGAAGAGTTTTATCATACTGTTTACATCGAAGATGGTAACCGGACTGAAACTTTGAAAGTGAGATCTTAACGATAGTGACATCTCAGTAAGAGGGGAGACTTTTTCAGATACTCCCATGGAACAACCGAGCTGCAACCTGGGTACAAACTCTTCGGGAGTGATCTCATTTCGTGGCAGGGCCCAGGATGTTCAACACCTCGCCGAAGGAGCTAAGAGGAGGGGGAGTTCACCTTTAAGACCTTCAAGAGCTGACTAGATCAAACAAACTACAATAATGTGCATCAGTTGGCTCAAATGAAGGTAGATGCACGGTGGTCTCGTTCAACGTTATCTCCTAGACACCGGTGGCCAGGCGAGCTGCCTATCGACGGCCTGAGGACGGTGTCGACGCATGAGCGTGACCAGGAATTGACGACGTCATTAACTGGAGATAAGGCGACGATTACAGAGTAACGAGAAGATGGAAATAGACGTAACAAACATCAAACTAATGTAGTCCATATTCGTGTACAGATTGTCTCACTGCCTTTTGACAGCATGAAACTGAGTTGCATAAAATCATACACTGTTTCGGATCTATGTATTCATATACTGACTACGCCACAGAGCACACAGTAAATAAATTTAGAGATGGATGCCACAGACACAGTAATTCATTTACTTTTGTCTTCGCAGTATGAAATATGCGTCGGCTCAGATTGCAAGAAACGACAAGTTTTCTTAGTTTGAGTTGCACATCGAAAAAAGTTGACGTTAGATACTTTACCAATTAAATTTTGTTATGAATTTGTAATAATTTAAGAGTCTATACATTTACCGCTTCATCTCATCCCGAATCAATCTCAAACTTTCACAAGACGCCTTCTAATAATTAAATAGTAAACATTCAATCCAGGATTCAGGGACGTTACCGGGCCAGAATCAACAAGAAGCATTCAGATGGTGAAAATGGTCTTAAAACCTGCTTACCATTTCGAAAAATGACTTTCGAATTAGTCTGTTTATTAAATATTTTAAACGTTTTAACACGACATAAGATTAAGTTACTGCTGAAGGAAGACAATACATTTATAATAGAGTTAACATAGCACTTAGGACATGGAAAATTCTCGTCCGTTTGAACCTTAAACACGTCTTCACGCAGTTACCATTTAACCAAGTGTGCTAAAAAGAAGTTTTCATTTACGTTCTTCTGAACTAATTAAATTTAGCTGGGAACAAATTCATTCATGTTCCTACTGCCCAGCGTCATTGCGGATCTAAACACTACATTGCCTCTTTTGATATCTAATGATGTTTACATACCTCATAATTTAGACATTAAAAAACCTTAATATCCATGAAGGATGAGCAAACATGACTGAGGAAGCTAAAGCCTTGCAGCACACAATAATAAACGTATCTAAGTACGATTACAAAATAAAATAAGTGCCAATCTCTCGTATCAGGAAGAACCTGTAGTTGTAGTCGTATGTAAATTGACTTAAATTTTACGGTGATAACTGAAATGACAATGCAAGAAACAGAAAATATTCTTGGCATAGAGCTGAAAATTAAAGTACAGGCTTAAGAAGAAAGGCGGCTCTGATATGCAGTTCATACATATCGAAACAATATTTTTTAAATCGATTTAATTTTAGTTCAATTTCCCTGTCAGTTATGTAGGCAGAAGACTGTGCACGAATGAACACACTGCACCCAAAACGTGCTTCAATTTTTATAGGCTCGCCACAAACAAAAATCGACACCAAAAATGGCTGCTTAAAATTCGAGTGGAAAGGCGCACAGCATCAAACTGAGGCCATTTATCATGCCTATTGAAATTTTTGACTTTCACGAATGCAGTAATTTTGAGGTACTAGTCATTCACAGAGAGCGTTACGAATTATAATACAGAAAATACTCACTTAAAGCTCTCAACTCGTCTATTCGAGAGATAAATTCTACCCTTAATGTTGAATTTCCACGAGCAAATGGAAGATTCTGAAATCGAAACAGCAGGCGTGCCATACCAGCGTCGTAGTATATGAGAACGGGGAAAAAGCGAAAAGTTAAAGTCACAGGTGTTTTTTAGGAAATTCCGATAATAGTTACCCTACTGCGCGAATCAGCTGATCATTTAAATAGGAAAGCTCTGAAGAGTTATAACGTTAATGCATTGGTGTAAGAAATTACGGAGGGATGTTGCTGTGCAAGAAAACAAAACATGGCACGGAAGTACAGCGATCAGATAGATATTAAGTATGGTAGTGAGCACTAATTCTATTTAAAATAGAACACTTAATGAATAACGCTAAAATATACAGGCACGGCACTAAAACTAAAAGAAATATTTACAAATCCAACCATCATTCGGAACGCTCATATTACTTCTACCGCTGACTAAGAGATGCGTCCTACAACCACCTATACTACATATCCAATAGAGGCACAAAGACGAGTGATGCAATCATTTCACTACGGCAAATATAGAGACATCAGAGTCCCTTTCGTGCACTAGGGAATAGAAGTAATGATTCGTGATAATCACAGCATTATATCGGGATTCCTTATTAATATTATTCATAGCCATGACGACTGCATCACAAATATTCATCGCTTTAAGCACAGGAGAAATCAACGTGCGGCTACCTGGTATCAATTCTACCAACTCATCGAGAGGTGTGCACAGAGGAAGAGACTCTTCGAATAAACTTGCCTTTCATGCACGATAACTGAGCTAAATAATAAACAATTAGAAGAGGAATGCACTTCCTGTGCAGATTAATGATTTTGAAAATTTGTATGCGTCATGTCTTAATCGTATTTTTTAGTTTTACATGAAAAAACGAGGATTTAATTGTAGTAATGCGTGTTCGGTTGTACTCAAACTACACATCTGCAAGATATCGAATTAAATGAATATATATCAGAAAATTTCGGAAACTGGAATAGGTTACTGATTCATATCTACTTCAGATGAAATAATCGACTATTTCCAACCCTATAAGAAAAAATTTAACAATCCGAGTTTGCCATTCACCGTCAAAGCCTGACCAGATCCCTCTCATATAAGGCGCAAAAATCTAACTCGTTATAGAATGTATTTGGCAGATAAAGCGAGGTTCAGTGAACAGGTTATATACTAAGCTTTCTTGGCGCGGTGCATGCAACTCCTAATGATATGAATACTTGCGTGTCGATACAGAGTTAACGAACAAAACCCACGCTTTCAAAGTCCAGAGTTGAAATTCCAGTTAAATACATAGAACGTAACAGTAAAGCCATCATCAATGCACGCCAGTCGCTATAGGACGGCTTTTACTGAAATTTACATGCAAGTGTTAAAATGCTAAGCAGTCTTTGAAAAGGAATACCAATCGAAATCGGTGCATATTAACGGCTAATAGTTTCTAGTAACCAGGCCTCGGATCCTAAGGGATTAAGACTCGCTCTTTAGGACTTAAGAAGATTCTTGCATTCTATTGATCACAATAACTAACCCTCGCAGGCGGCTCTGTATCTAAACGATAAAAACTAAATACATTAATGATTAACCTTACATCAATTTATTAGTCTGTAATAGTAAGCTGTGCGAAGCCTATCAGGGAGTACTCGTCCGGCACTTCGGTCGGCGGACAGCCCGAGCTCTGAAAGATGAAGGAATAATATTATACATACAGTGGGGTGACAAAATAAGGGAAACGTCTGACATTTTGATATAGTAATTTTTTCTATAAACAATGAAACGTGACATTTTTATTGTTGCTGCTAATTTATATTTTATCCTTGTACTGATATTTTTAGTAAAATTTGTGTCTATAACCTAACCTATAGATGGCAAATCTCTTCGATTTTCAAAGAGGCCAAATTGTTGGTGCCCATATGGCAGGTGCTAGTGTGACAGAAACTTCCCGAATGCTTGGCGTTTCTATACGCACTGTCTCAGAAATAATGACTGCTTTTGAAAGAGTAGGAAAATCGTCCTCAGCAAAGTATAGGTCTGGTCTAAAGTCGAAGTTATCTGAGAGAGACCGTCGGTACCTTAATCAAATTGTGAGGGGCAATCGAAAGATCACGGCTGTTAAAATTATTACTACAGACCTCAATGGACACCTACAGAACCCAGTTTCCATAAAGACTGTCCGCCTAGAGCTGCACTGATCCGGACTCTATGGAAGAGCTGCAATTAGAAAGCCTCTGGCTTCAAATACAAATGCTTCAAAGCGTTTAGAATGGTGTAAAAAGCTTCAGAATTTGTTCCTCGAACAGTGGAATGGTGTTATTTTCTCCAACGAATCATCGTTTATCTTATTCCATCCTCTGACCGAGTTTACGTTTGGAGACATTGGAAGAGGTAATTTAAATATAAGGTGAAGGCTAGTGTCTGTGCAGGGAAAATATAAGTTACATAAACGAACACAAAGACTCATGCGCATCACTTAATTAATGAACAAAAATTAACAAGCTTGATCAGCCCAACTCTTGTTAGTCATGATTAGACTCTCGATCGGAATATTAATAGCGATGAGACTGACTGGAACTTATCAAATTAAATAAAAATAAACAAAGAATGATCACCCACTGATGAGAGAGCAGTTTGCTAGATATTTTTATTGCTGTTCAACATTACCTCGGACACGATCATGTTGTAAAACTTGCACAACAAGTCTTCTTTGAGAGGAGGCTTCCAAATGTTTCACCCCAATGTTATGTACTAATATAATCATAATGAAAATACAATTATTGTATGAATTGTAAAATACAATGTGTTAACTACAATGTGGCTCATTTTTGATTCGGCTGAAAATTCCGTACATTTGGTTACTCACCAATCGCAGACGGTTAGCCTTAACTTGAAGAAGCACTGAGAAAAAAAGCACCTTCACAGACAAAGCAAACAAACATCCTGAGCTGAAATTCAGTAAAGCAAAGGAAATTGATTAATATACTAACTGGAGCGACGCATTGCTTTAAATATTTCTCTATAATTAACGTGACATGCAACGCATACTTACGAGTGCGAACGTCTCACTCGTGCCTACAGACGGCTTTTCCATTATTCTCTCGAGAGAGGCGGCGATGCATACAAGATCTCGCCCGTCCACGAGGCCTGTACAAAAAAGTTATACTGTTTTAATGGTAGGAAACCAATTACACGGTTAATTTTATGCTAGTGATCGTGAAAAGTATTCAAGCAGAGATAAATTTTTCAATAAATATACATTTAAAATAATATGCAATGAATGGTACATGTACCATAATTGGAATCCACTCTGCCTACTGACGGTAATCTTAGTTACCACGAATTTCAAAACAAATACCATTAGCAACAAATAGCAGGAACAAAAATGGGATAAAATCTTCAGATGGTAGGCAGTTTACATCGCTGTTCCGCGATACTAATTACTAAGACTCCTATAGTTCTCCTATAGTGACTCCTATAGTTCTCAGCTCGAAAAATATTTCGGGACTAAATATCCATACACAATTTAAACGAACTAGCTTTCCTAATAATATCCCAAAAAATCCCATATTTAGAATTAAAAATAGATCTGTTTTCGCTCCGAACCCCAAAATTTCATTTTTAGAAGAAAAATAGAGCTCGGGATAGGTGAATCTAGTTTACAAGGATCAGAAAGGCATGAAGTAGTCTATTTGTTTAAACAAGAGTTATAACGAAGGACCACATCAGCATTGTTAGTGTTTGTGTTCGCTCAGAACGTACCCGCAGCCACAAGTTCAGAGGCGACGCCCGTACTCGTGTCGCGGCCCACGCAGTACTCGAACCTGATGTCGTTCAGCTCCCGACGTTGATTCCTGCAAGTTACACATTTACGTCAGCCAGTTTGCAGATAATGAAATAAATGCGCTTGAAAAATAGATTAAATAATATTTTGCAGAATGAGAACTCGGCAGATCCAAGTAATGAAATCCTACAGCAAAGAAATCTGTGAAGCATGAGTACTAAAAATATATTTGCTTCTGATAATAAAATAAAACAACCCATGACGTGTAAAATTGTATAGTTGGGTGTAGTAAATGAGTAACTTGAAGGAAGATGTCTGTATCGGACATCAAATGGTGAGAGACCGGCAATGCATAAAAAATCATAGCATTTTTTCCAGAAAAGCCATTGAATTTTTATATGTTAGCCTTACATCACTCAAAAACTCGATTTTTGATTGAAAATGCAGATTAACTTATGATTAGCATTCACATGACAATATGAAATATAAATTCAGATTTTGAAAATAAAATTGAGAATAATTTAGATTCATCGTATGAACGCCAGAACTTTGAATAGGGGACATCAAATGTCAGCAGTAATATATTGCCAAAGAAATAGTGCGACACAGAAGGTTGAATCTTAGGCATCAAAATATTGTATTCGCGACTGCTTGAGATAATGAAGCAATTTTTGAAAGAGCAACTTAAATATAAGAGCATGTATATTGTCGAAGCAAAACAATCGGAAGAAGCCAAATTTACACAATGGCGAACACTCCGAGCAGAACTTGTTCGATAACATCATTAACTGGCATCAAATTGTAATGGTTCATCAATTATTTGATGAGATCAAACAATCAAGCAGTAATTGACAAAAAAACATCGCCCAGAAGTCATTAGTGTGGGGAAGAAACGCCACAAAATAGAAGTCAAATTTTCTAATAAGTACGAACGAATATCAGCTTCTCGTCTTGCAGTGCAAGAGAATATAAGAGAGAAGAATGATCGCTTCATAAACATTCTCGTCTCGATTGTTATACGAGACACACAACCAGGCAAATATTCTAACCTGCCATGTCTTCGCCTTCCACTTCTGAGGAATAGCACATAATAAGCATAAGTACGCGTGAATTTTAAGCTTCTTAGCAACACATTTAAGTTTCATAGCAATACAAGTCAAGAAGTTTTGATAAAACATTTAATGCACCGAAAGTGATACATCACGGTGGGTGTGAAGTCACGTTGTACTTAAATTTACTGAATATAAATGAAAAATCATACACGCATTATAAACTTTTACACTTATTTGAATAAGATTTAGAATTTAACGTGCGGCGAATTGAAAAAAAAACATTTATCGCACCAGTTATATATACCAGCATTGAGAAGCTAGTTTATATACATAATTGTGAAGAAATATATACTAAATCACACAAGCACGATAATATTTTACGCTGGTTTTATTAATAAGCAGAATTGAATACATAGCGGAGTAGAAGCGAGCTTACCGAACTCGCAGGACGAGCTCGACGGGCTCGCCGCCCCCGCCTCCAGGGTTGGCGGCAGGAGCCATGTACGCCTCACCGTGCGCCCCCAGCGACGGTGGTCCACCCTGCCGTGTGTAAAATAAGTAAAACGATTTTTAAAATAATGCTACTTGTTTTATGCTGATTAAAATGATGCAGCTTGTGTTATGGTGATTAAAATGTTGCAGCTTGTGTTATTCAAAACCGTTGAAGCGTGCAACACAACAAAAGATGAAAAATCAACGGTGAGATGATGTCGTTATAAATTAGAGTTAAATGAAAGTAAACAGCAGTGTTCTCTAAAAACGTGTTAATTGATACATAAAGAACGACGCAAAGAAAGAAAATAAGGAAAATACTTGAACAGCGTGAAATGTATTCAAATTAAAATATTCTAATTCTATCATCTGATACATGAGCTAACGTTATAGATATTTTGATGATGATGAGAACCTCTCAAGTACTCCGCTAGCAAACTTCGATAAAAGTTCAAGGCGTTTATACTTAATTTATTTAGGCCAAATGAATGTGAATTAAGCTCTTAATCTACTAATCTCAATCATTTCATACATAAATTTTCATTTCGAATTTTCTTTTCAAAATCCTTCTACAGGCAATGAAAAGATTATAACAAGTGAACGTGTACAAAATTTTGAACATGATATATATGATGATTCTTAAATTAAAAGAAAAAAACTTTAAGAAATGCAGAAATTGCAACATTAGGCAAACACTCTGCTTTAATTACAAACACCTTCAAGAAAAAGTTTCAACTGATGAATTGAAAAATTAAAACAAACATATCACTCTGAAAAACGTCACTCCATACTCACAGAAGACGAGCTTATTTAAATCTAAATAAGAATTATTTTGAAGAATGACACAGGAAAAAATATATAAATAAATAAATAGTGACTTCAATAATTTCGGCTATAACATCAAGTATTTTAAAAAATTGAAAGGAGCGTTTCATTTTTTTCACAGCAGAGAAGAGCAAACAATATGTCCTAATCTAGAGAGAAATAATTCATCTTAGAATAGAGATGATTTTTCAGCAAGCAACAAATGGATCATTCCATGCAATGCAAAGTTTATGAAAAAATGTCGGCAAGGTTATCTACTTTTTCCTCATAAAACGTACTACAGGTTGATAGAAAGAACTAGAAAAATACAGAGATTAGCCGACAAACTACCACTCAACTAAAAAATAAATAGTAATGTTCTTCAAACAAATTATCACCATCTCAGTGGCGCTTCATGCTAGAAAGCATTCAAATCCTTCACTCAACATTAAAGAAAAACGAGTGATTTCTTCATCGAATGTATCAGCAAGATCTTTTACTCCAATTTTGTCTTGGTACTCAACAATAATGACTGACCACTGTACTTGAAATTGAAATGCAATCTACTTATATGAATTTGGGCTTGACACATAACAGCAAGCAAAGTTAGGCTATCATGTTACATGACAATCGAAAAGCTTGAAAAAATTCCACACATTCTGTAAAAATCTTGTTTTGTTTTCTGCTGGTATATTCTGGTGTTCTGCATCATCTGGTATTACGTATACATTGAGAGGAAAATATGTTAAGATAGATTTCCGGGCACTCGGTTAAAAAGCAAAGAGATAAGTAAACGTTCATCTTCTCTAAATACTTTACATTTCCATTCCTCTTTTACTCTAACTGAACTGTTGCAGCTATAATTATGCGTTTTACCCCCAGGATTAGTTTCGTGAGCGGAGCTTAGAAAATTGACTACAGATTTATCCCTTTTCTAATTATTGTCAATAATTTAGCAGCTGAACTCTGTTATTATTGTATGTGTTAGCCTGACAGTCAGTAATATACCTGAGCAATCCAGCAGGTAAACTACGTTATTACAAGATGAGTTAGCCTGACACTCAGTAATATACCCGAGCAATTTAACAGGTGAAGTACGTTATTACAAGATATGTTAGCCTGACACTCAGTAATATACCTGAGCAGAGATACCCGACTGCAGGTGGAGGGCAGCGAGCTGGTCAGCCGCCACGTACTGCGGACCAGGCAAGCTAGCCAGGACGTTACTGGCACCAGCAGATGAAGGTCCATTCGAGGAGCCAGACATCTGAGTGCTGGCTCCGCTAGTATTGTTAGACGAAGATTCCGTTTTGAGGGAATCGGCGTCTTTGGAGGCATTATTGGTTCCGTTGTCCCAACTGCTCAGTGAACCTGAGTCGTCCTGTGCGAACCACGGCTCAGTTAATAGCCATTATTTCCTACCTCTTAATGAAAGCGGCGAGAAATATTCCCGTTGAATCCATACACCACATGAGATGAACATAATCCAGCCCAGACTCACGTTTCTGAGGCCATAATTTGCAAACAAAATTGAAAGCGTTGATGTCAGTAATACGAAAGAAGTTTTCACGAGCTGTTCCCAGCCCATAACCGTATAAGCGAGGATATTGCAAGCAAGAACCTTGAAAATAATCCTTATCAAAGAGGCTAATGAACAATCATGCACACCACACGTAACTCATAATGAAAGTCAAAACTTTTCAAAATTCTAGGTAAAAATGACCAATGACTTGAATTTCGAAGGTTCAAGTTTTTGGGGGCATAAACGGGATACTTGTATATAACAATCATTTGCATAGCAGCTTTTTGTCACGGAAAGACAAGCAAAAATCAGCTAAGGTGATCCTAAGAGAGAGAAAAAATCGTGCAAAAAAAACAACAACAAAAAATTCGTTGACGACGAATTCATTACTATTTCATCCATTGGACAACAACATATACATCTAAAACAGCTGTCTATTCTTCAGTAATGAGCCAGGCAAGAGATAAAGTTTAACACAAGTATTGAGACGAACATTACTCGGTGCATGTCAGTTTCAAATGGTTCTTCAATGTAATGGCTGAACAATAAAATCTCTTTCATCAGAAATTACTTTCAATACTTCCATAAATTTGATTTGGAAATTAACTAATTGCATCATCCTAAGTGCTTGCGAGAAATCTAACATGATCACAGTAATAAGGTACATGTAAAAGAGTACCTACCAAAAGGTTTCACATTTAAATAATGACGAATTGGAAGTTTAACTTTTTTGCTTCAAACATGATGCAAAAACCAGAGTAACTTAAATGAAAGTATTTTTATTATGAGTTTGCTCAAATCGCATACGATAGAAATGTAGGTTACTTAGGCCACTCATATTTAAATTTAGATTTTAATCTATCAATTGAAAACATCTGGTGGTTCTATTAAAGAATTCGATGTTAGAAAAAGTCAAGTTTCTTAAACTCGTCTCAAAAAAGCAAAGTTAAAGAATAAAGTTTGCCTCAAGTAGGATAAGACGAATTCAACTTGTAAAGTCTGCCCAGCCTGAGAGTTTTGACAAATGACAATATAAGTCCGAATAAAAATCAAGCTAAAAAATAATCAATTTACTACATGATAGAGTACAAACTTCGAAAAATATCTTGCAAATAGTAATTGATTTGTAATTTACGTAGAACACAATAGATGGAATACAAGCAAGCAAAGAACGAAGTCTCACGTGCTGCTATTTACATGACTCATTCAAAAAGACCTTCCATGGTTTTTGTTACAAATTCCGGACAGACTTCTTCAGAACAGTAATTGATTTAGAAAGAATTTACGCAGTACACAATAGATGAAATACAAGCAAGCAAACAACAAAGTCTCACGTGCTGTTGCTGCGGCTCGGTCTCGTCGTCACTCCACACCCAGTCGCCGCTCTGTGTTCTGTGCAGCCGTCCTGACGCCCCAGGGCCTCGGCTGTTCTGCTGCACAGCGCAAGCATCAGCCAACGTTATTGTCTAATGGCATAATTGTAATGCCAATAGTGCTGGTAAACATGTATTAAGTTAATCATCAAAACTCTTCAAAAATTATAGCATTGCTAAAGGAATAGAGAAGAACAAGCCTTGATCACCGCTCAAATAATCTAATTTTGGGACGCAAGTTAAAATTTGCCAGTTAATTTAACCCACTGACTATAGATGATGATCATAAAATTACATCTTTGATCAAGATTTCCAATAAATAATGCACGCAACCATTCTACAAATTAACCTTCGAAACTCTATCATCAAGAGACGGGCCTCCCTGGAGGAGAATCTGCTGCAAGAACTTCTTATCCTTGGCTTTCTTGAAGAACTGATGCTTGAGCAGTTCTGTAGCCGTCGGTCGGCGAGTGGGATCCTTCTGCAGGCAGTCGGCGATCATCTTGCGGATGCCGCGACCGTAGTTCTTATACTGGTCCTGCGGACATTTTCCCCAGCAATTTAACAACAGTGGGCAATTGGATTGGTATAGTCTAATAAATGAACGGGATAGGACGTTAGAAGAAACATATCTTACTAATCCCAGAGTGATATTACATGGCCCGGTTATATTCAGAGGTTGAATGAAGGATTGGACGAGTCACGAGTTTTGGGCAATTGATCTAACATGTTAATGTAGTACTTCAGAGTCAAACATGTCTATTAATAAGACGAATAGGTAATGTATGATAGAACGAATGAATATATATTCATCCTGTCTATATAAGCTTTGGCGTCAAAAACACACATTTGAGAGCTTTGGTGTACGTAATATAAAATTTCTATCAACTAGTAAGAAGTAAATGTATGAATTAGTAATTTAAATAGGACAGCGACATTCTCCTGAGCTTTGGTGTCAAGAACGTACATTTGAGAACTATGGTGTACTACTGTATATAGTCTAACATTTCCATCAAATAGTAAGAAGTAGAGAACACCGACACAGACCTTCTCTTGAGCGTTTGTGTCGATGGTGGGTGGATCGTTCTGCAGGGTGAGCATCAGGACCTTCATCGGAGGGTATTTGTGATACGGAGCCGTGCCCGTCACCATCTCGATGGCCGTGATACCGAAACTCCAAATGTCCGCTTTGAAATCGTATCCTGAAACCTGATGCCAAAATACATGGATTAAAAATTTTAAATCGTATCCTGAAACCTGAAGCAAAAATACATGTAATAAACATTTTTGACTCGTATTCCGAACCTGCCTGCTTCCAAAACCCATCAATTAAAATGTCCTATGATTTATTATACGTTTCTAAAACTTTCTGTTAGGGAAGTGAACTTCAAAAGATGATTGAAATGGGCATTCTATGGTAGTATTTAGTTTGAACAGATCTCTCTGATAACAAAACTTATTGAAAATTAGCACAATGATCAAGTTTGGCAGGATTTGGAATAGCTGAATTTGTGATAAACAAATTTTCAAGCTTCAGTTATTATTTATTTAATAAAGCAACGCCAGTTCAGCTGCTAGAATTGCATAATAACTTTTTTTTTATTAACGACCAGCTCAACAAATAAATGAATGGAAAAACGATTAGGTGCATGTTTAACCTGTGCCAAATGTTTAAGGATATCAGCAAGTAACATTAGCCTCTTGGACAATAATGTTGCGAAGCAGCAACTTACCTCTAACACACCTTAAATACTAAATTAGTTCACTTGCTGCACGACATCAAGTACAACTCAATTACACAACATTTTTCATTTTTTATGATTTACGGTAGCAGCACAAATGCACCATATGTAGAAATATAAATATGTCTAGAAACTATAGGAAATAAAATGTTAAAATTCTCAAGTTAAATCGTTCACGAACATGTTCCATCATTCACGAACCTGTTCCATCATTCACGAACCTGTTCCATCATTCACGAACCTGTTCCATGACTTCAGGAGCCATCCAGCAGGGCGTGCCGACAAAAGTGTGTCTGCTCTTCTCACGACTCAAGTCACCACCCGTGCTGAGCCAGGCACTCACACCAAAGTCAGCTATCTGCACCACACCATCTTCACCAAGCAGGATATTTCCAGCTTTTATGTCTCTGGGGGTAAAAATATAATTAGGTGACGTTTTTAGTTTTTTTGTCTCTGAAGAAATGTAATTAGTTTGGACAATCAATGTGTTTTTCTGGCTTCTAAGCCCATGAGGCAATGGTATTTGGTTAGACTGGAATAAATAAAAATCACCACTTGAAATAAGTATATGAATTTTACAATAATGGAAGAAGATTAATTAGGTATCTGAATTGAAATTACTCGAGAAAAACGAGAAAAACTTCAATTACGTGCAAGTATGTTGCAAAATTTAGATTTGATAATAATAATTAAAGAAAATTTCAAGAGTGAAAATGTTTCACAAGTACGTATCACTAGTAAGCCTAAGCCTCTGAGCAGAAAAGTGGTCATTCACTGCATGTAGTCACAAGAATCACACATAATTTCTGTCCGTTTCATTGCATTAAATGTTTCAAAATTTCAAGATTTTTGATTGTTGAAGCCTCAGTTAGTGAAACATGTGTTTGGAAAAAATTCTGTAGTATTTTACTGCCTGTACAACATTAAGAATTTATTTACAAATTTATGCTGTCCAACACGTTCCAGCGTGAAAAATGATAGCATTGAGAAAGACTCATTTTGTTGGTTGAAATGATTAAGACAGCCTCTGCTGCTCCCCATTAAAAATAGAACAAATTGACGGTTTGCTACATAGGAGGACGAGACGAATATCTGTAAAATGCCTTGTTGTTCCAAGTCCTTTAGCAAGATTTAATGACTTGTACAAGACAAATTGTGATAATCGGGAATGCCTCATCTGTGTGTATATATCATAAGATAAAAACATTAGTTGTTAATCAAGGTTAGTGTAAAACTATTCTCTAACATTTAAATTGTTAAAATTGAATATTAACCCAATTGATGAAATGTATAAATGTAAAATTATGCAGTCTGATAACTGTTGAAAACATGTTTATCATACTACAGTATACAAATGAAGATAAAATCAACATGAAACTTGATGCAGAGTGAATTGAAAATATAAATCAATTAATTTTACCTGTGAATTTGTCCATTGTTGTGGAAGTATTCTAACCCCTTGAGAACTTCTTTCAAGACTGTGGCAATGACAACCTCATCGATCACTCCGTGTTTGGCATCTGGAGACTTGGCTCTGCAGGAAAAATTCTGATTTGAAAAATGTAAATAATAATAATTTGTCATTTTTGCAAACATCTTTCACAAAAATGTGTTAAAATAAGAGTCGATAGTATAGATAATAAACAAAGTATTCATACTCTCTGCAAGAGCATAAATGCATGAACATAAAAGAAGCAGAGGATTTCACTATAATTACAATTTAACACAGACAAGGAAATTTTCTTAGAGAAATGATAAACACATACTAAGTGCCGAAGGTCATAAAAATGTCCTTTACACCAAGGACATGTCTTGATGAAAAAAAAAGAAACATTGCTGTAAAAATAAGTTGTTTTAGGTAGCAAACATACTTACTAACATCCCTTAATAACATCCTCTTACCTGTGCTTGATGATGTCCAGTAATGAACCACCTCCAAGGAGCTTGAGAATGAGCCAGAGCTCATCCTGCACCACAAAGGATGTGTAGTACGTCACCACATTTTCATGGTGACACAGTGACATTGCCTGGATTTCTTTCTGTAAAATAATGTAACCAATATACATGTGAAGAGACAAGTACATTAAATTTATTTAGAAACATTAGATCTGCCAAAGTATGATCTTCACAATTAAAAATACGCAAAACATAGATTTTTGAATTAGTATCAAGGAAATTCCCAGACAAATTATCACTAATTCAAGCAGTCATTCACTGCAAGGGAACTCTAAGTTCCATTACAAACAACTCAATACTCAAGCAGCATTATTTTAGGGATTAATCCCTAGATAAAGGAAACACTTTCTAGTTTGCATGGAGTACATCCATAATATTAAAAATGTAATCTTTCATTTTATGATGCACATCATGAGAATGGCAAATTAAATTCTGAATCAACTCTCAATGAACATATATCAGGTTGAGAATTTTTGTCTAATTCTGAACGAGTTTTTATAATAATTCTCAGCAGTTGTATTAAAAATAAAAAATGTGATACATATAACACAAGTGTTCAAAAGTTAGTTAGTTAGTATTAAAAAGTTAGATAAAAACAGATTGCCTGAGAGTAAACTGACCCGCACCCAAGGTTACTTACAAGAAGTTCTTCCATTGATGTGTTCCATTTCTCCAGATTTATCTTCTTGATGGCACACATCTCATTGCGGGGAATACATAGAGCCTTGTGGACATAAGCTGTTGCTCCGACACCTGCAGGGGGAAAAAACATTCATATTACACTGATACCCTCGTACATTGCATTTCAAGGTTAACATAATTTATAAGAATTATTGGTGTAACCTCACAAAAAATACTGAACACTCATAATAGGAGTGATGTTGATGCAAATTCCTAGAGTTTAATTTCACCAAGTGCTGACACAGGTGTTTGGTAGTATGTATTGATTTTCCTAATACAAAAAAACAACCTTGGAGCACAGCTGGTTTTTCTTTCACTCTTACCATGATGATTCATTATGAAAAGTTTCCCTTTGAAGTGTTTTTTTTTCTGCATTGATGATAAATTATGTTAGGAAAAGTATTCATCGTTTTATTCTAATTATAGTGTATTGAAAAGTTAATTAAACAAGGGAAGTGCCAACACCGATGTTTTGGTGGAGAAATATGATTATTCAAATGTTTTTAAACTACTCTAGGAGAAACTCCAGGGTAATCACCAAGTTTCAATTATAAAGATCTACCATCAAATGGGGTAATAAGGGACACTTTATCAATTTTCAGTTGATATAATTGATTAATTTTAGTTGATAATTCTTATCATGAAACATTTTATAAACAAGTTTGGGCTCATTGTAAAGGTCTTTGCTAGGGCTATTGTATGGCAACTCTGAAAAAATAGTGTCCCAAATTACCCCTGGAAACAGGGTAATTCAGAACACTTAAAAAAATTAATCACAATAGTGCATTTTTTCCATAAATGAGAAAATGCGCTAAAAACCCCAAAACCTTATTCACTGCAAGCACCATATCAGCAGCCGTATATATAGCATTTTTACCATAAGCTTACGGAACTGGGCTTGTAATTTTGCACTATTTCAATTGAGTCAAGTGAATTAATTCACTATAACAAAAAAAGATCATGAAAAACATACCTGAAACAGAAAGGTATATTTTAGTGACAACCTTCATATTTTCTGCAAAAATAAATCATAATTTAGGTTAATCACTTTTTATTTCATATTGCCAGGTTCACAATTCTATTTATAAATGACATACTATGCACTATAATATGTCATACTTTTACTATCTATGTACTATGTAGCATAAAGTAAGTTGAGAAATCATACATTTACTACATAACCTTCTTTATGCTACATAGATAGTATAGATGTTGAACTTTGTGCTGCTATTTTTAGTTGTACAATATTTAAGTTGTGGTGAAAAAATATATTTGCCCTATTACAAAATTTTACTTGCATAAAAGTTGCACGCAGGTGTTGCCTTAAAAAAGGGATTGACAGAAATCACATATCTCATTCCATAAAAAATGGCGGCCAGGCCATTTCCAAAAAGGCTAATAAGGGAGACCTCTAAAAAACGCATTTACAGTAGAACCTTGATTAGCAAAGGCTCCAGTTAATGAAAAATTCAATCAACAACAAAAAATTTTGATTATATTTACCTCGCTCAGCAAAAAAAATAAACCAAACAAAAAATTAATGCATCATTGGTCATCACAAAATTGTGCATAGAATGTCATTAATATAATTGTGCACTGGGCAACAAAAATGAAAAGTAATTAACCTAAACTATGATTTATTCTTCCAAAAAATATGATGGTTATCACTAGAATATTCCTTTCTGTTTTAGGTTATGTTTTTACAATCTTTTTTGTTATTGTGAATTCACTTGACCCAATTAAAATGGTGTGAAATTACAAGTCTTCCTGCAAGCTTACAGATACAGAAAAGTGCTACATTGCTGCTGATATGAAGCTTGCAGTGCACAAATTTGTTGTAAATGCACAATGGCATGTCCATGGATACAGTAATTAATTATCACATCAATAATATGATAATGTATGGATATGGTAATATCATATACAGTGGGGGGAAATATATATTCGTACACTTGAAAAATCATATTTTAATGTATGTAAGTACACAAACTTAACAGGAAAAGTGATTTAAATTATGTATAGAGACGCATAGTATTAATTGAGTCAAGTGAATTAATTCACTATAACAAAAAAAGATCATGAAAAACATACCTGAAACAGAAAGGTATATTTTAGTGACAACCTTCATATTTTCTGCAGAAATAAATCATAATTTAGGTTAATCTCTTTTTATTTCATGTTGTCAGGTGCACAATTCTATTTATAAATGACATACTATGCACTATGTCATACTTTTACTATGTAGTACTATGTAGCATAAAGTAAGTTGAGAAATCATACATTTACTACATAACCTTCTTTATGCTACATAGATAGTATAAATGTTGAACTTTGTGCCACTATTTTTAGTTGTACAATATTTAAGTTGTAGTGAAAAAATATATTTGCCCTATTAAAAAATTTTACTTGCATAAAAGTTGCACACAGGTGTTGCCTTAAAAAAGGGATTGACTGAAATCACATATCTCATTCCATAAAAAATGGCGGCCAGGCCATTTCCAAAGGGACACCCCCCTCCCCTCCAGGCTAATAAGGGAGACCTCTAAAGAACGCATTTACAGTAGAACCTTGATTAGCAAAGGCTCCAGTTAATGAAAAATTCAATCAAAAACAAAAAATTTTGATTATATTTACCTCGCTCAGCAAAAACATTAAACCAAACAAAAAATTAGCATCATCGGTCATCACAAAATTGTGCATAGAATGTCATAAATATAATTGTGCACCAGGCAACAAAAATGAAAAGTAATTAACCTAAACTATGATTTATTCTTCCAAAAATATGATGGTTATCCCTAGAATATTCCTTTCTGTTTTAGGTTATGTTTTTACAATTTTTTTTTTTGTTATAAGGTAGTGAATTCACTTGACCCAATTAAAATGGTGTGAAATTACAAGTCTTTCTGTAAGCTTACAGATACAGAAAAGTGCTACATTGCTGCTGATATGAAGCTTGCAGTGGACAAATTTGTTGTAAATGCACAATGGCATGTCCATGGATATGGTAATTAATTATCACATTAATAATATGATAATGTATGGATATGGTAATATCATATAAAGGAAAAACAAGTATAAATCACAAAAAATGTCATTAATTCTGCATCTACATAATCTACAAAAGAAGAGGAGGACTTCAGAGTACTGTTAGTAACAGATGAGTACACACTGCATGCTTCAAACATTTTAAAATTAAGTTTTATTTCAAGTGTCATGGATTACCCCGTTCCCAGGGTAATCCACACTTTAATTTTGCGTCTGGTGCTATAAATAGCATATGGAATTTTGTGAAGATGCCATTTGATGCCTAAACTTGCTTATGAAAAGGTTTTATGGTAAGAAGTTATTAACAAAAATGCTCAAAACAGTCCCTTATTACCCATTTGACGGTATGTTTCCAAAATCTCACCTTTTACACTTTTTTTCAGGGATTTTTCAGAGGCAGTAAATGTATGACTTCTTGACTTTCTTTATGCTACATAGAAATTACCTATAAATGTTGAACTTTGTGCCACTATTTTTAGTTGTACAATATTTTGATTATTTTAGCTGCTACAACATTTCTACAAAATGTGGGATGACTATCCCAATTTACCCTGCCCGTCCCTTATTACCCCATTTCACATTACCTGAAAAGTTTTTGGTGCCAACAAAATGATAAGATAAACTCCGATTCTTTTATGGCATGTGGCACATTGTATTGGCAGTGAACATGTCATGATGTCCTGAGTCCTGAGTTGACGCGGTAGCAATCTAGTTAACTCGTATCCAACCACAACACAGTGCGGATACACGTTTGTGTGTACGGTCAGTGTGATTACGTAATTTGCATTGCCGCGCGTCCATATTTAAACTATTTTAGCTTTCTAAAAGTACGGCGCTGTCGGCGCATGGTGCATTTTTTTTACCGGCATAGTACGGCGCACCGCGCAGGTCATTAAAATGACAATATAAATTCCCGCGCACCTGGAACATCTTCCTGACCATGGCAGGTATTAAGGTCTACGACTGAGATCATTGAAAGATTTGTAAGAAAAAAAATTGTTGTTCTCAAGATAATCAGCAGATCACTGCTCATTTTGAGCAGAGAACTCTGCTTTGTAGTGTCACTAGTGTGAAATGTCATCATTTCATTCAAGCTTAGTTCATTGTTTTCAATTATTGTTAAAAAACTAATACATCTTATCAATTGACCATCTAATTATATTTTTTAAATGCCTGTATGAATTTTCAAGTGATTACGTCATAGCATTGAAGAAGCAAGTATGACTTCTCTCAAATTATTATTAATTAATTAATTCTTAATAAAGATTATTCAACAAATTAATTATTCAAACTTAAATTTTTGGATCAAAATACTGGTCTAAATAGATCAAAAGTAATATTTCAATCATCATTTTTAGAATTCCATCCTAAATCAGGCTAGATGCTCTAACAGCCTTCTTACTAAAAGTTAAAAGGCCTTACTTTACAGCCAGGCCTGTTCTGTATGCAAAATCTTTGTGGCCAATGGCCATCAAATCTAGAGTCTAGACTAGGTATTTAACAACATATTCCATAAACTAACTAGGTAAAAATATTGTTTTACATGTGATTTTTGAAAATCAAGGGCAAAAATATGCCACTTTTTCTACTTTTCATGAAAAATATATGGCAAGGACCATATAGATAGGTGACTTCAATTGCTTTTCCATAATGTTTAGTAAAGGAGTAAAAAGACTAAAGGCTGTAAATTTTTACATTCATCAAGGATTGATGAGTATGAATAAAAAATAAACATCAGTAAAATAGAATTTAATGAACTTGATACAAGCTCACTATGACTAGCTATGAAGAATTAGATATTTGGGTGAACAAGAAATCAAGAATCTGAGACTAGATTTTAAAGTTAATGCCCAAATTGTTATTTATTGAGGATTCTGGATTTGTCAGGTCACTGAAACCAGGGATTAGGGAAAGACCTCGAACAGCAAACCTTCATTTCAGAAAAGAATTCATCATTAGAAACTATCATTATTCCAAGTTCCAACTCACCAATAAGATCCTTAATTTCGTAATCATCCTTCACATTTGGCCAAGGTTTGTCTGCTTCAGCCATTTTGGTATCTTTTGATCTTCCCAACAAAGCTAAAGCCGCAGTCAACTCTGCAGTGCTGCTTTTCCGTCTGTACGTGCCGGGAGAGCCCGGTGGCAGAAGCCCCGGAGTGATTCGCCTGTACAAAAAGAACTCTGGTAATAGTAACCCATGTATCGAACACTGTGATGACTTCAATTAAACGCATCTCAAGTCTCTATGAACAGGAATTACCGAAGTATTCGATAGATGAAGTGCTACGAAATGCACAACCAACGCCCACAAAGACCTTTTCGAGACTGAATTGTGGACACGTTCATAAGCGTGTGTGTCGCGGATTCTATTTCAATAAAGATTTTAAAGCTAACATGAAAAATTTCATGAGCAGATAAACTTTCTAATATATGATATCCAGGTACAGAAAATAAGCTTCGGCAACAAAATTTACCTTTAAAAATCTGTTTAGTTGTAAAAATTTTCTCAACAAATAGGCCTAGGTTAAAAATTATTTACATATAGAGGTATTTAAATATAGTTACTATATCATCCGATTCCGATTTGAGGTTATACATTACGAAAACGCACGCTATGCACAGACATTCACGCATTTCATAATCAGTCTAAAAAAGTGAAATCAATAAAGTTGAAGGGGATATAAATACCATTACGATATCCTAGATAAGAAACAATTAACGACATAATACGAATATTTAATCAAGTCTAGTGTCGATTTTTATATACAAGTTCCTGCCAGAATATTATTCAAGCAATGGTTTAGAGAGAATTCCGGTCCCAAATAATTAATCATCGTCCTGAAACTCAAATTATTCAATCAAAGTTTGCGATGAAACTTCGGCAAAGAATTCAAAACTATTTTGCAAACCAAAACTCTTAACATTTTTTTCAAATAAAAAACTCGTAATTTTTTAAAATCAAAACTCTTATATTATTTCAAATTTGTTGGTTGTTAACTTGTTAACTTGTTAGACGCCTCACGTCGCAATTATTTAGGGGCTGCTCGAGCGCGAAGCGTTTTCGTGTACATATTATCTGGACATGAAAATTTATTTTTTGTTTATCAATATTAGGATATTGCAAGGCAGGGATGGAAGGATTCAAACAAAAATGTAAGTTTAATTCTAAATTCTAAGCATCAATTCAATCTAAAATACGAAGATTAAATTAAAATCATCCTTTTAAAACAACTGTCAAATAGGAATTCAATGTTCTATGCAAAATATTGGTTTGGACGGGTCTTCCTTCATTAAGCATACACTAGATTCATGATTGATATCGGGATTTTGGATAACGATATTTTAAGATTTCAGAGATAATCGAATAATTAAAACCGGATCCACGTTATTAATACCATATGATACAATATAATATAAATAAAATATAATATACAACTATATAATATATTAGTACCGGAAACAGATTTCCAAAGTAATGCCAGGTTAAGGTGCTATGTAGTGTTATATAAATGGCATAGGAGGTTCGAAACACAAAAAGAAAGTGTACATCATTGGCAACAAATGTTCGAACTTTAAAATTTTCGCAAGCATTATAATAGTTCGTACTGTTTTTTCATTTTTTACCTCAATGCGTATTGGTATCACTTAGTGTAAGCTTCAGATATAGAATTCCATATACAGTCGGCACTTTTATTTATCGCTAACGTAAAAAACGATGTACACGGCCTTCATCGTCAACGGAAAACTCAGGCAAATTGCATACAAATAATAAATATTGAAGAGACTTCAGCAATTGTGGGCAATTTCAACCATACTAAAATTTAAATAGGAAACGTTTGAAGAACGATTTCCTTACTTAAACTGGTGCAAAGCGAATTTGCTTAAATTAAAGTTAAGCGCTTTACAGAAAAGGTGCCTTGCAGAATACAAGAAGTTTTGCAAGCAATTCAGAGGAGACAATTACTGAATGGTTATACAGTCAAGCCGCTTTCGCGGCCTTAAAAGAGAGGGCGGACACAACACCGAGGCGAAGTCTGAATAGATAGTAAAGCGAATCTTTTTCTGCAGACGATTAAATGCAACAACAAAACTTCTTGGAGAAAATTGAAACTTTAGCAATGTGAACGAATAGTAATTTATGCACATTATGTACAAACATTGGTGGCAGTGTCTTACTTTTCGAGTATACTCCCTCTCCCCATATGGATCATGATTGCTAAACAGAAGGCGACGCTTCACTCTCTCAATTTTTTTGAATTAAAAACGAAATCGATAAATAGCTATTTGTTCGAGGCAACGTTTGATTTAGCTGACGCTCTCTAATCTTTTGCTACTTTTAGTTTTAACTGGGCTACAAGAAAATCACTGATTAATTCATAAATTAGTCCTAAATATCGGAAAATTTCTGAGACAGGAAAAGCATGAGTCTTTATTTCTCGTAATCTTGAAGCATCAACTGCCGGCAAGCTACCTTGAACTCAATCAAGCGAGTTCAATGTGTACAACATTCGTCCACTCGCGCCTCAGTTTGGGACAGAGGACAACCGCTTGGTAGATTTGAGAGGCTAAAACATTCATCCACACACATCGTAATTAGATCTAGCGGGACACCGCTAAGTAGATCTGGGGGGCTGAAATATTCATCCACACCATCGTAATTAGATCTAGCGGGACACCGCTAAGTAGATCTGAGGGGCTGAAATATTCATCCACACCATCGTAAATAGACCAACCGGGCAACCGCTTGATAGATCTGCGAGGCAGTTGAAGTCTTATCAGCTGAGGCTCGACGGCGGAGAACATTTTGGCGGATGTTGTTGTCTGCGCCTTCGATTGCGGCGGCCAGTGAATGTCTACGTTCCGGACGAGTTTCTTTCAAAGCAGCTAAGCGCGGAATATCGGCATATGACGTTCGTTGTCTATTGTTTAAAGTGGACATTTTTGCGGATAGATAATTTATTGAGATACTTTTTTAAGGAATTATATGTGTAAACAGATAATGTATTTTCTGAAAAAAAGCTATTTTTACTCTCATCCACAGTTCATTCACGAGGCTTAGAAGTTTAGACAAATCCATAGAAAAATCACAAATGCGCATTCGTTTATGAATTTCCCATTCAACAATAGTTTCCACTCTATAAATCTGTCGATATAATTTAGATTTCCGTTTCTTGATCACTGAAAACTATATAGTATTTATTTATCCATGAACAACAAATTATCACGTACAACTTATGGGAAAAGATTAAATTTTAGCCACATCATGACGAAACCGGCGGCGCAGCTGAACATGAGAGACTAGCCCCATGCACCTCCCCTCACCGCGCTTAGGGTTACGGACAAGGCCTTCGGTCGCACTGTACTCCGGGGGAACCTGTTCGAGGCGCCACGCTGGTCTCATGCTATGCCAGCACAAAAAAAAGAAATATTCCGCTTGTTCGTTTGAAAATTTTAGATTTGAGCATGTGCCACCGATCTGATCTCAGTTAACTGGTTTTTGATAACAGATATTACGTTACAGTGCAAAATTCCACATGATAATGACGTGAACCGCGAATCGTTGCAAGCGCCGTTTCACGAAGGAAACTTACTGATAATCCACGAATCTACGATTGCGCATTAGCTTAAATTTATAAAATTCATTGGAATTTATTAAGCAGAGACAAAAAATAATTATCTTTTTCTGCTTCATGATTACTTTTGATTCAACTCGATTCTAACCAAAGTACCAGGCTATTCGTTTGCACACACTTCAACATAAATTATGTAGATGACCATAAAGTTTACTTTAAACTTATATGTCATACTTTGAAAATGATTACAACCGATTGACAGCAAGAACTTTTCACTGGTAATTCTAATTCATAACACAAAACGTCTTATCATCACAAAGATATTACACTGGTAGGAAATGGGAAGAAGAATGTTCGGTGTTTCCTCCACCACACCCGAACGGTAACTTGTGTTCCCTTACTGGTAGACCTAGAATCGTTCTCGGTCGTGCCTTGAATCTCAGCAAAGGGATAATGAACCAAGCTAAGACCTGAAGCTTAGCTTGTGCTTTACTTTCCTTGTCGTGTGTGATGCTCTCACCTTCATCACAGTCACGCACCAATGCACCATCAGAGCGTCATGATGGTTTGCTCGAGTTCCATTTCATCTCTCCCAACAGCTTTTACAAATACAGCTTTAGACAATTGATTTTTTGTTTACTTGATTCAAACTTTGATGAATTTTACTCTTGTGAAAAACTTATTTTGCGGTACCTCACTCTCGTCTACAGATTTAATCGAGTGCGTTCCATTTGTTCGTTAATTGAGGTATAGAAAATTTTAGGAATTGCTAATCGATCATAAATAAGATCATCTAGAAAATTATTGTTTGAACACTTATAACGCTCATTGGAGCACTGAGATACCAATATTTATGTATAAGTTTTTCATGAAAACATGAGGTCCGCATTTATTTTGCACCTTCAATTAATTTCTAAAATGGGCTGAATATTCCACGCTCTCGTCTTGCGAGAGATAATAATATCTATGAATATTACCTATTAATTAAAAATAATCCTGGCGTCCCATCATATTTTTCATGTGTATTTAAATATTAATTTCCGTGTAGAGTAAAAATTTGCCCGCGAATTTTCAAGATTCTTCCAAACACCTAATTTATTTTGGTATGTCGAAAGAAATTTATTACCTGCCTTACAATGGGCAAGTTCAAGCCAAGCTTTAAAAGACCACTCAAATCGACCTTGGATTCTAAGCAACAGGAGGAGTCTTGGTGTGTAAAATTCGGGAGCCGTCACGTGAAACTAAGGTATCGTTTGTGTGCCACCGCATATTAAACGTAATATTGCCGCAAAATATGTTATATATCGCCTGTATAACTGGGCAGAGTCGTAGCAAATTGGTACCGTGCAACACATGAGGAGCGGCAAATGTAAAATTGCATGGAAAGCGATTTTTATGGCATGGAGTTTTCATTCGAAGAATTCAAATTATTCTATTCAAAGTTGTTGCTCAACGATCAAACCGGGCTTCGACCATCAAAATAGATAACTGTAACAAACGTACGCAGCTGAGTTTGAAAAAATACAGTTCAAATTGCGATTTGATATTTTTAAGTAATTAAACAATTTCAGAAGTTTTTTTTGTATATAAAGTTTTTAATTGAAAACAACAACGGTATTTCTATCTGGATAACACATTTCGAGACAGTTATTATCGATCGGTCTGATTACATTTTCACATGTCCCTTAGTTCTTGAATTTGTTTTGTTCAAAACAAAAATTTCACCGAGTTATTTGCTGCCTGCATTGTTAGCGAATAAACAGAAATACTTTCGTTTTATGTCTTTGCCGCACTGACTTTTTTTCTTAGAAGGATTTGTTTCCCTAATATTAACTCAATCTGGGTAAGTTTGAACTAAATCATTTCGTATTGAGCAATATAGCAATGAACAACAGATTTCTTTACTTATATCGAGCACACGGAACTCGTACTGAGCTACTGAACGGAAACAAGCAGACTGTCGTAGCTAAGTCGATTTTGGCAAGTGATGCGTGTCAACGAGGCAGGGAGTTTCCGTCTTACGAGCCAACTTGAAATATACAAGAATTCGGTGTATACATCTTTAAAAACGTTTAATTTTGCATTTATGTCATCAAATTAGAGTTGAGAATCAGGGCAACAGAGAAATTGTAAGTGTTAAAAGAGCGCATGACGTGAAACGGCGAAGTTGTGAGCGTACGGGTACGCTCACAACTTCACAACCGGTGCGAGAGTGTACGTATAAAATCACAGCTCCTATGTTTTGATACGCTTTTTTGGTAAATCTCATAGAATTTGCGTGCCTTATAACTAAGAAATATGAATACAATTTGTGGGGGAGACGAACAGGTCTTGCCAGCCATTTCGAAAATTTTCTCCTACCTATCAAGTTATAAGGTACCGTATTGTACCGAGATAAGCAAGCAAAAAATATTTTTGCAAACGCAATTAGATGAAATAAGCGATTAATACAATCTAAAAAAAATGTAACATGTCCGATGAGTTAGTGTTGGAATGGTAGAAAATCCAAAAAAACTGGCACGTCCTTTATTTTCCTAATAAGAAAAATTTACTCTAAAATTGAATTATATTCTGCTGCACAGTTGCACACTGCGTATCCAAACTTTTATGACATTTGTCACTGGGCCAGCAGCGGCGGTTCCCATATTTCCTGGCAGCTGCTTGCCGGTGCAAAAACATGAGGACATGCAGTTGTCTTTGCATGAGGGAAATATACATTTTATAAATGTTTCATATATTGATTTATTGTAACCAAAGCCAATCAGACGACCGCGCAAATTTCCCGGATCGCCTTATGTGCGGAAAATTGCCCATATTGTCATCCGTTCTGCGCCACCACAGTGAGCAGACAGAGACAGACTCCGAAGTTTAGACGTGACTTCGCGCTAATACCTTCATCGGTGCTACGCCATATCTTAACCACGGAAGTAGACGTGACTTCTACTCTCACACGCTGTTGTTGTTGTGCGGTCGTCTTTATTCCCCCGTTAGTGTTGAATTGCAAGAAGGATGACGAACCTGATGGGTTATTACGAATAGCTTTTAGTCTCGTGTTACGCCCAGTTGATAGTGGTCCCGTAACAGCATGAAAGAGATTCAAACGCTGATGAGCATAAATATTCGTTTTTAGGACGGAAGTAAAATGATGAATTTGTTTACACTGTACTGAACTCAATATGCTACTCCAATACTGCAAATATTGTCGTCGCGAGAGAAACCCTGCTGAGTGATTGCGGCTGGAGTCACTGGATGAAAATAATCCCTGCCTTTATTTATTAGAACATATTGCTTATTGCTTCAACATAGGCATTTGTTGTATTGTTACTTATACCTTATTGTGGCAAACTTTAGACCATCTTTGATTACAGAGCGTTACTGACGAGTTTCCTATTTGAAATATTAAAAGTTTTACGGTCGTAAATACTTGAATTTCATACTCACTAGCACTGCAAGCTGACGATATTCTGCCACACTTCCAGACTTGCAAGATCCGTGANCGAGGTCAATACAGTGCAGGTTAGGCCTAGTGTCGAGGTCATTACAGTGCAGGTTAGTCCTAGTGTCGAGGTCAACACAGTGCAGGTTAGTCCTAGTGTCGAGGTCAACACAGTGCAGGTTAGGCCTAGTGTCGAGGTCAACACAGTGCAGGTTAGCCCAGGGTCGAGGTCAACACAGTGCAGGTTAGCCCCAGGGTCGAGGTCAATCCAGTGCAGGTTAGCCCAGGGTCGAGGTCAATACAGTGCAGGTTAGCCCCAAGGTATGTTAGGCTAAAGAGGATCAATATTTATGAGTGCAACATCACTAGCCAGAGGAACGAGGAAGCGAGCTTAGGCCTTCCTGCCAATATATCGCCCTGACCTGGTCTCATGTTTGCCGCTATGCAGGAAAGGTCGACACTCCTTTTATGTACATCAGACGAACGATCCGTGCCTTCAGTCAATAATGGCAAGTAAATTGTGCCCAAATCATTTGAATGGCAATTTTCTATCCTTTTAACACATGCGTTCGTGGTTGATAGTGTGCTGTAAATGACATCCCTCAAACTTTTGGAAAACTTTCAAAGAGCGATAAATGAATAATTAATTTTATGTGTAATTAGTATTGTATATAATCCTATGGAATAATGTCATCAAGATTCAGTGTCACTTTTGGCTTCTGTAATAAGAATGTGGTACCAATATGGCTGCATCGGGTCATTATTAAGAGAAGTTTCACCGACTATGATAACACAGAATTAGGGCCGGTAGAACATTTCACTCACAAGAAAATTAAACTAGAGAGAGGAAGCAAAATCATTGCACAAACATTTACGTTTATTCTAAATACTAACTCTTTAGTCTTCTTAATATTTCTACCTCCGCCTTCACCTAAAGTTTGTCAACTTTAGTGATCAAAAGAACTGACGGGGCCTGAAGCTCTCAATG